AGCTGTTAGCCCATCAACAGGAGTATTGCTTGAGGCTTGTTCACCCAAAGCGACATCATCCAACATGACTGTAATTGGTGTCATCATGGGCCTTTGTCCAAATCTACAGAATGAAAACCCAAATTTATCCCAGATCCCAGGCAATTCCTGTGCTCAGTGCAATTCAAAAAACTCCTAGGGATCTCTGAGGAATGGGAAGTTTGGCACCTTCAAATTTCATTTCTGTATATGAGTTTTCAGATTGACTTTTGAAGTGTTCATTCATGGTCACTCCCAAGTTTAACAATTGTGTTCACAACTAGAAGATAGCCTATAAACTTCGCAGTTCTGATCCAGATAGTGGGGCTGATGTTCTGCTGTCAACACAAGTCTCTGATTGATCAGCTTGCTCTCACAGAGAGCATCCCTGCCCCACACCCATGTGGCAAATGCTCTGTAAACAAAACCAATTCCCTTTTTTTATCAATAGGCTTTAATTTTCTTAAGTGCTAGGAACAGATGTTTAGTTTGGGTTCCTGGCTCACAAAACATAAGGGATAATCATGGATTAAGAGTTTTTCTAGAGCAGTTGTAACAGCTAGTGTCCTCTCACTGAGGGGAACTGATGTGGGATTCCCCTCTGTATGCTATGAATACCATTGGTTAAATAAAGAAGCTGTATTGGCCTGATAGGGTAGATAGGTAGAGAAAACTAAACTGAGTGCTGGGAGAAGGAAGGCTGAGTTTAGGAAAGAAGCCATGTAGTCCCACCAGAGACAGACACCAGAATTTTAGCCTGTACACAGATTAATAGAAATGGGTTAAATTAATATGTAAGAGTTAGTCAATAAGAAGCTAGAGCTAATGGACCAACCAGTGATTTAATTAATACAGTTTCTGTGTGGTTATTTCCGGGCTGAGCATTCGAGAACAAACAAGCGACCTTCCTCACACCTTACTCGGAGAGGATCGGTCTGCTTGTGGTCCAGCCAATCTGCATTTATACAATATATATTGTATAATATATATATATAATATTGGCCCAGCTTTGCCAAACAGCTGAATAATTTGACCTGTTGCACGGAGTTCTTTGGTACTGGTCACTTAAACAATGGAAATTACCTGGCATACTGACTTCAGACTTGTCACAGTTGTGAGCTTTTTTTTTTTTTAATTTTAAATAATTATCCAACAAGAGCAACTACTTTTTAAGGTAGTCTTTGCTTGGAAGAATATAACCAGATGGCAGAGCAGTGATCCTCAGCACAGCTCACATTTTAATCCACCAGAAAGCTTTCCATTGTCTTATTTGCTGAGACTCCCAATAGATGTTGCCTTAATAGAGTTTGAGAGTGGATTTTAGCCCGGATGGGAGTCACCCAGTTGACACTAACATGCAGCCAGACTTCAGAACCGCAGTTCTAGAGTTTCAAAGGTTCAGTCTTCTGACTTAGTGTTCATCTACTGGGTAAAGCTGACAGCCATGATGTAATTACTAAGATATATTAAAAAAGGAAAAGGCATGGTAACACACACCCTTAATCCCAGCACTCGGAAGGTAGAGGCAGGTGGATCTCTGTGAGTTCAAGGTCAACCTGGTTGAGAGAGTGAGTTCCAGGACAACTAGGGCTACACAGAGAAACCCTGTCTTAAAAAAAAAAAAAAAAAAAAAAAAAAAAAAAAAAAAAAAAAAAAAACAAGAAGGAAAGGAAAAGTATATGGAAAAAAAGAGTATGAACCCACCTCTGCATCCTCTTCTCTAACATCAGGATAAGTATTTCATCAGACACTAGTTCTGAGCATTTGGACGAGATGTGGTAGCAATTGAGACAGCGCACACCATTTGACCAACTCACAGTGAATGAAAAGTGTTGCCAGACTGATAGACGTGACACTATTCTCTACACTGAGAAATGCAACTTCACGTCCTCGGAGTCTGCAGTGGCACCAGGGCACAGGGTGCGACAAGGGAGTTCTCTGCTGAGCTTACACTCTTGAACCCCGATAATGACTGAAATAAACTGAGGGCTGTCCCATGGGAGCCTCTCATTGTAACCCCTCCTTCCTCGCAGAAGAAGACATCCCCTGAGAGGAAGCAGCCAGAACGTGTCAGAGGATGTCAAGAGGAAAATAATGTTCCCCACAATTGAGAATGGCGTTGTTTCTGTTTTTAAGAAGTGTTGTTGCCCTCAGTTTATAAAATCCCTCTCCTGGCTAATTTTATATCAACCTGATACAAGCTAGGATTATCTACCAGAGAGGGAACCTCAACTGAGAAAAAAAATGTCTCTATTAGATTGGCCCGTAGACAAGTGTGTGGGGCACACTTGATTAATAATTGATGTGCGAGGGCCCAGCCTACTGTGGGTGGTGCCATCCCTGGGCTGGTGGTCCTGGGTGTTAGAAGAAAGCAAACTGAGTAAGCAGAATTCCTTCGTGGTCTCTGCATCAGTTTCTGCCTCCAGATTCCTGCCTTGAGATCTGACCCTGACTTCCTTTAGTGGCAAAGTGTGACTGATCTGGCAGTGTAAGCCAAATAATAAACCCTTTCCTCTCCAAGCTGCTGATGGTCATGATCTTTAGCACAGCACTAGGAAGCTAACTAAACAAGCCCCCATGAGGCAAAGTGAATTCATTGGTGAGGAGGAATACTCTGACGGGAAATTAGTCAGAAATCCTTTGGGTTGTAGGAGAAGTTTATTTTCCTTTTATTTTAGGTTATTTATTAAGAATATTAGGTAGCTTTCTCATTTTTCTCTCAAGTTTCATATCTCAATAAGTGTGAAATTTGGTACATAGGCATGTATGGGTTACTGCATTCAAGTATAGAAAAGGAATTGGAAATAGAGCCGTAACACTGAAGATCAAAGTATTTCTGCTAAGGTGAACTTGGAAGTTTGGAAACTGTGGGAATACTACCAAAGAGTATGGATCCCATTGAAATTAATCTTTGATTCCCAATCAAAATTCCACCTTTTTATTGCCCTTGCAGAAGGCACACTAGGCTACCCACTTTTCAGACTTGCATTGTTTAGGTCTGGGCACTTTAGTTGAGCTAAAAAGCATGCCAGTGAAACATATCATAAAATATAGGATCTCCCCAGGTGATACAACCGCTTGTAGGAAAATTAAAATATGCATATGAGAACGACTGAGCTCTGGCCTACTTCTCAGACCCCAGTGAGGCCCAGAAGCAGCCGTCACCTGGACCTCAGTGTCATACTGACGTTATCCCTTGCTCATTCGGTGCCATCCCTGCCCCCACAGCAATCACACTTTACCGTGTGCTCACAGCTATTTGCTCAGCAATAGTGAAAAATGATGAGGGAAAGAACTCAGACTTTTGACCCGGTCTATACCTTAAAGCTCTTGCTCTTGGGAAAGTCATTTCATTTTTATGAATTTTAACCTCGTCATTTGTAGACTGAAAGAATTATCCCCTTATTTGTACAGAATTACTAGAATAAGGTTCATGAGAATCCACAGGTAAATATCACCACTCAACCCTCTTCCCAGACCAGGGCTTTCTGCTATGCCTTGCAACATCGTACTAGCCACACCATGCTCTCTGAATTGAAGGGAAGCAACCCAAATTGTTGGCATCTGCTGCCTTGCGCTTACTGAGCTATTAGCCTTGCAGCATCTGCTTGGAGTTTCAGAAAGAAATTGCCATTTTTAGACAAGAGCAGCATTTTCATATAGCATTTCAAAACGCTTCAATCCTGCAATGATTATAACTTCTGCTTGATAGACTCTAGTCAGCAAAACCACAGAGAACAGCCCAGCCCGTGAAGGATCCTTCACTCAGATGTTTAAATAGAAGCAATAATGAAGCTTGAAGAAGCTTTTAATTACCCAAAATTCCTGGAGGCAGGGGAAGCACTGGTCATAGAAACACTAGTTTCCTTCGCGGTCTACTGTGCTGATCACACATGCACACTTGACGCATTTCTGTGACAATTGCTAAGTCTTTTTGTTCTCAGTTCTTACAAAGTTCCCACGAAGCAGCAAGCCGTGTTTCCCTGTGTTTCTGGATATTTTTTTAAGACTGATTTTTGTTTCATGTGCGTGAGCGTTTTGCCTGCACGTGGCCTGTGTCCTTAAGTGTTGAGCCATCTCTCCAGCCACTTCTGAACAATTTTCTATAGGTAGCGCGATTTTTAAGTCATTGTGCCCCCCTGAGTCCCCTAAATATCTATTTCCCATTTGGTGCAAATGTCTCCTGAGGGGAGCATTGAGGAGGAAGTGCAGAGGTCAGAGAGATGCAATTTCCAGGGAAAGTCCCCACTGTCAGAATACAGTAGAGCAGCCTTGTACTATTAAACCAGCCAGGTTAATTGTAGGACATAATTGAGGTTAATTGTTTGTGTCAGGATGAATAACTTAATTCTTTCCATCAAGATGGAAAATAAAGACAAGGGGACCCAGCTGTCAGGATCCCAGAGCCGGAAGACACCACCTCTCACAGTACTGTTTCAGCACCAAGGGCAGAACCTTGCCTGCTCTTCCCCCTGGATGTGACTAATGAAGCTGCCTTCTGGCTGGCTTTTTATTTGCTTTGTTGTTGATTTAAAGGGGATCTGTTTGTTTGCGTTTGTTTGTTTGACATAGAGTTGGGGAGGTGGTTCTAAGGGTAGAGGCTAAAAACCTGAATTCGTCCCCAGCACCCACATCAAGTAGCTCACAACCACCTGTAACTGTAGCTCCAGGGGATCTCTCTCTCTCTCTCTCTCTCTCTCTCTCTCTCTCTCTCTCTCTCTCTCTCTCTCTCTCTCACACACACACACACACACACACACACACAGTTAAAGTAAAAGTAAAATCTTTTTTAAAATAAAGATAGTTCCGACAGCAAAGGAGAGAGAAGGCTGGGAAATGTGGAAGGTTGTGAGGGGAGACAGGACACGTCTCCACGTGGCCCTGAAAGGCTGCTCCATCTTACCTTGGTGAGGTAGAATTTGTCTAGCCTGGGCTTCATTAGCCACCTACCCGTGTTTTACATTTGAACTGTGTCTCTCCAGATTCCTCCAAGAAAATAAAAGATGTGCTGACTGAATTTAATGAAGGTGGAAGCCTCAAGCAATGCGACACACACAAGGTAAGACTATTTCCATTTCAAGTCTCTTTTTAAAAAAAGATTCTGTGTCCTAGCCGTTCCCCACTGGCATCTCAACTTGCCTTGAAGACCTTGCTCTGAGACCTGTGTCGCCCCAGGTCTCAAGCGAGACATCCTTGCCATCTGTGTGTCGTCGTCCTCCCCCCCCCCCCCCGTGTTCTTTCACATGCCTATGCTGTCCTACAAGACTCCATCATACCCCTTTTGCTCTCACTCCTCCCCAGCTCCTCATTCTCAGTGAACACTGAGAAGACAGAAGCAAAGCTCCGAGGCAGGGTCCCTCGCCCCGTGCCCCTTTCCCGGCCACTGTGGGTGAGCCCGGCTGTGCTCCGAGTCTGCCTCTCTTCCTCCTGTGTGTGGATTACTGGTAGGCTCTGCTGAATCAAGACCCCTCCCCAGCCTCCCCCCATTCTCCCTCTTCCTGTCTTCCACATCTGTCTGCCTATACACATTAGATTTTCCCCAGCAACACAATGGTGCTGGTTTTCTGCTATTTATTAAACTTTGTCTATATACAACACCTCCATGTTCTCTTCTGCTTTTTCCAGAACCCTTCAAGCAGTGTGTAACTCCCGTTCCTTCACTGATACCACTAGTGAAGACACCATGTGCCTGAACCCCATAGTGATGTTATTCAATGGTGCTGGAGGCAACTTGTCAAATCTCCTTCATCTTCCTCATTTGGCTTCAGGACACTGCACCCAGAGATTTTTTTTTTTTCTTTCCACTGAACTTGACATTTTTACCCTTGAAGATTAGACATCTCAAACTTCTGAGCTAAACTGATGTCCCTCATCTTCCCCCGTAAAACATGTTTCTCTATCAGTCCATCCATGACAACCTGATGAGCGACAGGTTAAGAACTTGGGTGATTGACCTAAGAGTAGGTAATTGTCGCTGACTTATCTCTTGCTGCCCCACGCAGTTCGGCAGGAAACCCCACCACTTCTGCCTTTCAGAAGTGCTTCCCACCTGGCTCCATGACCTGACTCCTCACCCCTGCACCCCACTCAGACCACTGTAGTCTCCCACTGGACTCTCTGCCCATTCTCTTGTCCTTTGAAGCTCACTCTTCACATGGATCCGGGGCAGTTTGTTAGAACATATGCTTACGCTGCCACTCTCCCATGCCCCCACCCCATCTCTACTCAGGACAATCTCACTTCCTCTGTTCTCTAGCTTTAGCTTTGCCAACTTCCCCTTCTCCGGTCCTTCCCGTCATAGTAGCCTCCTGGATGCTCTTAGACAAGCTGGTGCCCTGTGACCTCTCCCGGTACCACTCGGCTTGCTCTTCTTTTCCCGGGACATCCTCCAGCACATCCACGTCCTTTGTTTCCTCACTGTGGTGGTCTGAAGGAAAATGCCCCCCAAAGGGAGTGGTATTATTAGAAGGTGTGGCCTTGTTGAAGTAGGCAGAGCCTCGTTGGAGGAGGCGTGTCACTGGGGGGGGGGGGAGCTTTGGTCTCCTTTGCTTAAGCTTCACTCAGGGAGACCCTCAGACCACTTCCTGTTGCCTGTATGCGAGATGTAGGACTCTCAGCTCCTTCTCCAGCACAGTGTCTGCTTGCGTGTCACCATGTCCCACCATGATGACAATGAACCGAGCCTCTGCACTGTATGCCAGCCACCACAATGAACTGTTTCTCTTTGGAAGAGTTGTCATGATCATGGCGTCCCTTCACAGCAATAGAAACCTGCCTGTGACATTCACCTCCTTCAGGTCGATGCTCAAACCGCCACCCTGGTGATTGTCACCTTCTTCCTTCATACTTCCCCTTCTAGGGCCCGGCTCTATTTTTCTCAGCACTTCCCACCATCTATCTGGCTAACTAATTTCCTTCATTAATCCTCTGCCTCTCTCACTAGAATAGATTTGTTCAGTGCTGTGTCTCCAGTGCCCAGGAGAGTATTTGGCTCATTGCAAGTAAATGCCCTTTGCATGGGTAAATGAATGCAAGGCCTCTGCCTGTTTTCAAGTTCACAGCACGTAATGTTTCTTGGGTATGCAGGTAGTGTGCTGGGCTCTGCAGAGGAGGCAAAGATCATGGAGCATAATGTCTGCCTTCAGGAATTGAGGGTCGAGCATGAGTCTCAGACCTTGAGTCACGTGGTTTTGGGCTAGCCTTTAACCTCCGCCATCACTGCACAGTATGAGCTTGTACAATATTTCCTTGAGGCTTAGTCCCCTCATCTGTAGACAGAAGCTAGTGAGACTATTAAAAGTTTGAAGTGAATGAATTAAAAGAAAAATGCAAAATATTGAATACGTTATAGGACATGTGATTATTTCCTTTCTATGCCCCTTCCCACAATGCCATATCCCTTGCTCCCTTTCCCCTGCTCCTGGGTCATTTTACAAAGATTTACTAGAGAAAAGTAACAGCCTAGCAAAGCTAAGTTAGGAAAAGGCTACCATTCACTCTCCAAGGCCTTCTCCACTGGCTCCCAGGAAGAATCAACAGAGACTGTGTTCTCTAGGTCCACCTGAGAAGGGCTGGGGATAAAACACCAATCACTGGGAGGAAGAACGGGAGAGGGGTTGGCAGAAGGGAAGGGAGCACACCACTTCAAAGGGCATTCCTGAGGAGAAGCCGTGCAGAGCAGCAAAGAACACACTGCCCCACACCTCCCACCTCCAACTCCCAAAACAGGGAACGAAGGGCTGGCGGGGACTGGTAATCAGCTTGTCTGTCTGGGGGCTGATGTGTGGGAGGGGAACAGTTTGGTCAGGGCCACCACTGCTGTGAAGGCCGAGAGGAGCTTTCAGAAACAGGGAGCCTGTCTATCCTAAGTGTGCAACCGCCCTCACACCCCTCAGGGTTGATCCCCCTCTCTTTGTATGCCTGGCCCTGCTGCATCCTGGGGGAGCTCTGCCTCTCTCTCACACAGCTCGCCTCACTTCTGGTAGGTGTAATGTCATGGCATGGGGTTGGGGAAACAAGAAGGGTTTTGTTTCTCTTGAGCTTGACGGCTTCCTGTCACCAAAATGTCTTAGCGAGGAGTTAGCTGCCAGCAGGGGCAGGTTCCTAGGGAACCTAGAAGCTAGAGTAGGAAGGGGAATTTGCAGAGGGTCATCTCTGGCTGTGATGAATACGATGGAACAAACGTGCCCTTGCTTTTATCTCTAAATGATCCTCTGGAGAGAAGAACGGCGGTGACAGCTAGGGAGTGAGGAAAGCCCAGCAGAACAGAAAAGGTGGCTGGGTGGCACTGAGATACACTGAGCACAAGTTCTAGCTTAGCAGTATGCATGGTGACCAGGAGCAGGCTTTTAAGACGTGAGCCCTACTCTCCACCGTTGCCTCCTGCCTGGGGCTCAGCAGTTTCTCCAGCTTCTCTTCACCCTTATAGACCTGGAGCAGAATTAGCAAGCCCTCCTGAAACAGGTTACAGCAATAGCGATTACCTGGCAGGTTGCTTCATGGGTTTGCAGCTCCAGAGAGAGCATGGATGATGAAGGTGCCTGAGGAAGGTGATGGTTTCTTCCCAGTGTGCCTCCTACTGGCTGGCATCTAGTTGGGTATAATCCTCCAATACTCCTTACCTAGTCATGCACTAAACATCTGGTAAGCAGTCACTGTTCTCGGCCAGGGCTTGTACAGAACTGTCTAACTTATATATCCCTTTCAGAGGAGCACACGATCAGTCTCTCTTGACCCCTGAACTTGGGGTGCTTGGAGGGAGCGACTAGGAGCACTGTACCAGCCCAGGGACCTGTGACAGAAACAGTCACAGATGAGTATGCCAAAGATCTGGCTTCTGATTCGTCCCACCCCTCTTGGGCAGGGACAAGTCATGGAATGTCCTGAGCACCGGTAGCATAAGCAGGCCCAGGTCCTCTGAGGATTTTCTGATTTGAGTGTTCCGTGTTGATTCTAGGCCATTCCATCTTCCAGAGGATGCGGGAGGGAGATCATGAATGGGTAGGCATGAATTCAGTCATCATTTCTTCCTAAGGTCTCACGTTCTGTCCTCATCCTGTGGCACTCAGCACTGCTGACCACATATTACAGTCATTCCAGCACCTGTGCCTTTATAGACTAAACACTGAGCCTCTGCCTGACTCAGAGTGAATGATCCATTGGTGACCAGCACCACAGCAGGCCATCCCTTTGATGGACCGGCAGGGAAGTCAGCATCTATTCAAATATCTATCAGGAAATATTTTGGAGAATGGTTCAGGAGATGGAAATGAAATGAGCCATTCTCATTCTCACCCAGAAGCTCTGAAGGGAGTCCGAGAATGTGTAGCAACTTACTACATTTATCCAGAATGGCATCCACGGGTTTCACAAGGCAGGAACCGAGTCAAATTAAAGAGATCCAGGAGCAGGAAATTCCAAGGGGTTTCAGGCAGAAAAGCAGCGCTAGGATTTTAACAGTTGAAGAAAGCAGTGGGCTGTGGAGCTTGCTCAGGAAAGAAAAGGGGGGCTGTGGGGACAGGATGCATAGTTGCACCTTAACAGATAACAAGAAAAAATGGCAGATGGACTGAGGGTTTGAAGTGGCTCCACGTCTAGGCTGTAGTGGATTACAGAGAAGATTCTGAGTCCCAAAGGTCCCAGAAAGCACATAAGACTGACTAACTGGACTGTAGCAACATTGTTTCTGTATTAATTATATATATTTAAGCTTCTATCTATATTCCCTGGGGTTCACTAGAGTTTCTTTTCTGTATGTGTGTTATCTCGTATAATACAGGAGATCAGTCACGCACAAGTGGCTCTCAACTCTCCCACGGGCAATTAGACACCAAGGAAAATTTTTAAGTAGGAAATTAGTCTTCTCAGGGTTGTGCTTCAGGAAAATCAGCCTGACGGGGCTGGGTACAACAGATGGGAGGAGTGACCGAAGGAAGCGGGAGCAAGGATGGCTTCAAGAGGCATTGTATGGGCTGGAGGGATGGCTCAGCAGTTTAGAGACTTGTTGCTGTTACAGAAGACCCAGGTTTTATTCCCAGTTTCCGCCTGGCGATTCATAACCATCTGTAGCTCATAGCTCTAGTTCCAGGGTTCCGATGCCTTCTTATAACCTCCCTAAGTACCAGGCATGCATGCAACGCACATGTGTACACGCAGACAAAACACTCATGCACAGAAAATAAAATATTTTTTTTATAAATTACGAAATAGAGGCATTGCAATGGTCTAGCTAAAAATCACATGAAAATGAAGTCAGACTCTGGTGATGATGGTACAAGAGGGAATGGAACTAGAAAGGAAGTGTGTTAGGTGCTGTAAAAGGACTAATCCTGCAAAACCAAGAGAGAAGAACCAGTTCCAGGTTACTGAGGGGTCAAAGCTGACTTTGGAATATTGCCATTGGCTTTAGCAGAAATGGCAATCAGGAATAGGATCCTAACTAAAGAGGATGCCAGAGAGGATTCGAGAGCTTCTGGCTGAAGGTAACACTGAATCTGGACGAGCGTCCCATGCCTGAGACCAAGGGTGGGGATTTGACTGAGTGGCATGGTCACGCCTGCTCCCGTATGTATCCCCAGCAGACTCCATATCTAACACAAAGGGACTCCCGCAGCCAGGCTTGTTGTTACACTATTTATAACAGTCAGAGACTAGGACTAGCCTAGATGTCCATCAACAGAAGAATGGTAATAAAAATGTTGCATATGCACACAATAGAATCTTACTCAGCTATAAAGAAGAATGATGTTATGAAATCTGTAGGCAAATGGATGGACCTGGAACACATTATGTTATGTGAAGCAACACAAACTCACAAAGACAAATCCCACGGTCCCTCTGATATGCAAATCCAAACTTTAGTGTTTGTTTGCTTGTATAGAAATAAGGGATTTTAGATTGGTTTAGACTATGAAACATGATCACAGACCATGAGAGGGGAAAACGAGCTGATGAGAAAGACAATAGAGAAAAGCAAAAGGAGTCACGTGACATGAGAGGAGGGGGTGGAAGTACACACAGGAAGAATGGGGGACGATGGGAGAACAAAGAAGAAAAACAAAAACAATTTCATTTGAAAAATGCTAGGTGTGATGGTTCACACCTTTAATCCTAGCACTCAGGAGGCAGAGGCAGGTGGATCTCTGAGTTCGAGGCCAGCCTGGTCTACAGAGTGAGTTCCAGGACAGTCAGGGCTACACAGAGAAACTCTGTCTCAAAAAAAAAAAAAAGGAAGAAAGAAAATTTTTACATGCTAGTAACCAAATAAAAAATAAGTTTATGCAGACATATCAGCCCCTTGCTTTTCTAGACACTAGACATCTCTCTGGTGGCTGGTTTTGGGGACTTCATACTGGTGGCTTGGCACTTCTCAAACTGATCTTTTCCAGTCACCTTTAAGCTTTGTTGTTTTGTCTGTTTGTTCCCCACTGCTAATTTGTTTGGCTAAACCTTTTGTTTGGTTTGGTGACAAAGTCTCTCTACGTAGCCCTGGCTGTCTTGGAACTTACTATGTAGACCAGGCTGGCCTTGAGCTCAGCTGTGTCTGCCTCCCAAGGGCTGGGATTAAAGGTGTGAACCTCCACAGCCTGCCATTAAACTTTCTTTTTAAGACCTTCTTTTTCAGAAACACTTCATTCTGATCGTTTCCATCTGGTGCTAGCTTAAAACTGTCACACTGTCATTTAAATCAGTACTTGTCAGTTAAAATCATGCAAAGGATAAGGCAAAGAAACTTTCGACATCAAAGAAAGAATTGCAACATCATTAGCAAAGATTCAGTTGAACCAAAATAGGGAATAAGAAGCATCAAAATAAAATCTCAGCGTGCAAAGTAGCTTCAAGAAGAGAAGGGAAAATTCTCCAGGGAGCTGAGATGAGAACCTTACCAAAGAGACAAATACACTTAAGACCTCCAGGGAAGCAGGCTCCCCGGCAAGAGGTAGGAACCCCAACAGACTGGAGGTCAAGGGGAAAGGAAGGCCAGTGTGGTCTCTTTGGAGAAATTAAAGGGGAAGGAGAAGATTCCCTTGGAATGTGTTCACAGGTAGCAGACAAGCAAGACTCCATCAGAGACAGTGAGGGCAGGAGCACGAAGGGTGGTACATGGGTAACACTGGAAAGGGAATGAAATCATTCTGTCGCTGTGTCCAGGAAAAGAGCAGAAGAGACAATCTGAAGTAATGATACTGCAGAGACAGAGAGAGAGGCAGAAAGAGAATCAGAGATTTGGGACAGAAAAGGGACACAGAGAGCAGGATAGCGGGCACAAAAAAAAATGTCAATCAACCATGGGCTGGGTTCTTTTAAGCTGAAAATTAAATAAATGAGGAAGTAAGTGATCTGTGTCCAACCGCATCAGGCTTCTTCCACAGTGCAAAAGAGATCTCTAGGACAGCCCTGGACTTAGCAGAGATTTGGTTGCGAGTTCCCAGCGGAGCCCACACCTGACTCTACACATTCAAGTCAGCTCCTGCTTCCAGGAAGGCTTGCTGAATCCCCAGAACGTGAAAGGGGTTACATGCTTATCAGCATTTTTCAGAGAGCACCAAGGAGGTTTCCAGAAAGGGATGCCATTCTCCTGCCTGTTATTATTCAAAGGCCAGCACAGCAGCAGTTGGGGCAGCGCTTCTTCTGCAAATGGTTTCCAGGAGCATCTGTGTCTTGATGAAGCTCCAGCCCCAGGGATGAGAGCTCAAGCCAGGGATGACTCACGGCAAACTGTCATTGTTGTTAGTGAGTGCTTGCTGAGGGCTGCTGCTCTCTCTGGCATGGCTACTCAAAGCCTGGGACCATCGATGCCAGGCAGTATCGCGATGGTCGCAACAGCTTAGCTTCCTGTTTTTCTGGATGGCTAAAGTCTTCACAATAGCATGTTTTGGGACACAGCTGAGCCAAACACACACAATTCCTTCTCATCTTGGGATCTGTCCAGAGAAGGTGAACATTATGAAAACACTGTGGGGTGATGGAACCTGTCCTTCCTTCCCCAACCTCTTCCCCAACTTTCCGAGGCCTGAACTCAAGAATCACAGAGGTGGTTATAATCACCAGAGAACCTTTCTTTCCATGCTATTTTCTTCTGCATTCTTCTTCATTGTCACCAGAATTTCAAAGCAGTGACAGAGTCCTTGCTCCATAGACCCATGACCTTCACATGAGCCTAGGCAAAGGCAGATAGATCCCCGGAGCTCTCCATTTGTGAACCCCACTTTTTAGACATGCTGTTGGGAATCCTTTGAGAAAGCCATACTTACATACAATGTGCATTCAACGTATTCAGCACCTGCCCTTCTCACCCCTTTCCGGCCTCAGTATCCTCTTCTCATTGATGACCCACCAAGCCCAGCTTTGCTGCCCACATACGCATGTGTGTAGGACCATCCACTGAAGCATGGTAGACCTACCAGGGACCACACCCTTGATGAGACTTGACTCTTTCCCATAAGTCGATAACTCTCCATCGCTCCTCCGTTAGCTGGGAGGATGCCTAAGTCCACCTCCTCTCCATGGTGGGGCGCTTGATCTGCTCTGGGGCTTGTGCAGGTGACCCCAGCTGCTGAGAGAATGAGGGTAGCAGTCCTGAAACATCTGAAAAGCGTTGTTGCACTCGGGTCCACCCTTACCATCTGTTTACCCCTTTGTTCATAGCAGTCTCTGAGCCTAGGGAGTATATCACCCTTCCTTTTAATCCCAATTGAGACCAAACCAGGCCTTCTTTGTGCCTGATGGTCAGCCACCATGTTACCTCTGTCTGTGTCCCATCCCTTCCCCCGTCCCTCTGTCTCCCGGAGTTTTCATTCCTGCTCCCCACCTTCCCCTTCACTTCCATGGCTTTCACTTCACCTGCCTCACCCGCCATCGCCATCACCCTCCTCCATCCTGTCCCCTTCCCTCCCTCTATTGACTTCTCTCTTCTTGCCCTTCTCAGCCCATTAGCTATGATGTCTTCAAGCTGTTCATGAGGGCATACCTGGAGGTGGACCTTCCTCTGCCACTGAGCACACACCTCTTCCTGGCCTTCAGCCAGAAGCCCAGACAGGAGACACCTGACCACCCAAAGGAGGGGGCCAGCAGTAGTGAGCCCAATGTCTCAGGTACAAGGACCAGCTTTCCCCAAGATGGGAGGATGCTGAGCATCTGTAACCCCTGGCCACAGGCATAGGCAGAACACTAGCGGGGAACCTGAGCCTAGGAAGCGGGAGGGAGACCAAGGGTCAGGGGCTCCTCTCTTTTAGACCCTCAGAGCCTCTGTTTAGTCCTTTAGCAAGTGAAATAAAAAGGGGGTGAATCTATCACTCAGAGTCAGAGGATAAGATGGGTCAAGAGGGGAACACAAACTAACACATGGTAGAAAAATAAGAGCCTCCCAAGAAGGCTTTCGTCCATGGTTAGCGACATTCAGCACATGTCCCAGCTAGAACTAACCAGGGACTGTCAGAGGAGGGGAAGTCATGGCCACTGTCTTAATGGAGTTTCAGAGAGCATGAGCCAAGCTGAGAATTATTGTAGGACACAAACACAAGCTCCATGAACCAGAGCGCCTGGGATGGTCCCCTACGTGCCCCCCTAAGGGTCTGGAAAGCATGAACTGGTCTTTACGTTTTCTTCTTGTTCCCTAGATTGTGATGCGGATAATGCTGCCAAAGCAGATGAGGCCTGCGCTCCCGACACTGGTAAGACATTGGGACGTGAGGTTTGGGGGGTGTCTTAGTTAGGGTCCCTATTGCTGTGTAGAGACACCATAGCGGTGGCAGCTCTTATAAAGGAAAACATTTAATTGGGGCTGGTTTATATAGTCCACGATCATCATAGTGAGAAGCAAGGCAGCATGCAGGCAGAAGGTGCGGAACAAGTGAAGCATGGTTAATAAAAACTCAGGGTCAGTAACGGGGTTCAACCTGAAGATCTGAAAAGCAAAACAGCCAGCCACTGGCTCTGACTTCAACCTCAGTCTGAAATGGCGATCCTGCCTCCAGGAATCTTAGAATGAGACTGTGTGTTGAGAGCTTTCTCCTCCCATTTTATAATCCTCTCTAGGGCTGGGATTAAAGGCATGCACCACCTGGTTTCTATGGCAACTAGTGTGGCTCCTGGGATTACAGGTGCATGTCATTGTGCCTACTGGGATTAAAGGTGTGTGTTACCATAACCTGGTCTGTAAGGCTGACCAGTGGGGCTGTTTTACTCTCAGATCTTCAGGCAGTCTTTATTTATGAAAAGACAATTGAACTGCCACTGCAAAGAAGGAGCTGAGAGTTCTACATCTTGATCCACAGACAGCAGGAGACTGCGTCCCACATTGAGCGTAGCTTGAGCGTATGAAACCTCAAAGCCCACCCCCACAGCGATACACTTCCTCCAACAAGACCACACCTCCTCCTAGTGCCACTCCTGTGAGTCTATGGAGCCATTCCTGCTCAAACCACCACAGAGGAGGAGGAGCAAGATGGCCAGCTGGCTTTTTACCCACACAGTGGAGGGATTCTAAGGCTCACTGAAGGTTCTTACCTCCCTGGTTCCGGAGGAACAAGATGGCCAGCTGGCTTTTTACCCACACAGTGGAGGGATTCTAAGGCTCACTGAAGGTTCTTACCTCCCTGGTTCCGGAGGAACAAGATGGCCAGCTGGCTTTTTACCCACACAGTGGAGGGATTCGAAGGCTCACTGAAGGTTCTTACCTCCCTGGTTCCGGAGGAACAAGATGGCCAGCTGGCTTTTTACCCACACAGTGGAGGGATTCTGAGGCTCACTGAAGGTTCTTACCTCCCTGGTTCCGGAACAGAACAGGTCAAGGCTTGGGGCAGGTTGCCAGATGTTTACTTCTGACAAGTTGCTTGCTAGAGATGAGGAGGAGCCTTCACAGGAAGCATGGGAGTGGGTGGGAGTCTGAGTGCCAAGACCTGGCCCTCATGCAGAAGTATAACTTATTCTACTCTCTACCAATGGGCGGCTGGAGTGGGTAGGGCAAGTATGTAAGAGTATGTCCTGCTGGGCCAACAAACAACGTTCATGAGGGCCTGGAGCGATGCCCCAGCAGTCAAGAGCACTGGCTGCTCTTGCAAAGGACTCATGTGGGAATCCCAGGGCCCAGGTAGCAGCTCACAATGGTCTGCGACACTCGGATGCCCTCTTCTTGCCTCCATAGGCACCAGGCATGCAAGTGATACACAGACATACATGTATTAAAAAAAATGTCCATACATATAAAATTAAATTAAATTTTAATTTTAAAACAGAAATATCTGCGTCGTTTTTTTGAACAAGTTGGAGAGTTTCTAATAATTACCGAAAGATGCCAGAAGAAATTGGTTTTGAAGATCTGGTTTCTAGGTACCTGCTTACTTCATTTTCCTCTGACCTTCAGATTTATACTGCTTCACACAAAGGAGCCAAGGAAACCGTTGTGGGGCTAGGGATTCAATCCAGACCTGTGCAACCTCAATTCCCTGCTCTCTTTCTGTACAGAACGAGGTAGCCAAGCTGTCAGGTAGGTCGCTCCTTACAAAAGTGTCATTTTAGTTAGTTCCTGGTGGAGCTGCTGTAGCGCTATGGTCCATTGACCCGCGTCTGGTACAGCAGATCTGGAATCTTCCCTGACACGTTTATCAGTGAGAAGCCTTTCTCTATGTGCTTGACAAACCCAGGTACTGGAAGAGGCAAGAATCACCATCCGTGACATTTACTTTCATGTCCAATAAAAATGTCCTGGTCACTCCCCATCTTAACGAGATCAAGGGACAGAACATGTTGGCTAAGAATCTGGACCGCATCCCCAGCTCAGACACTATCTAGCAGAGAGCTGTGGGCGTGTTTGAGCAATATCTGCGTTGCTGTCCCTCTGTAAAACGGGAGGATAGTGAGTATTGTTATGCAGGTTGAACGAGTTAGCAGCTGTTCAAAGGCTCAATACAGTTCCTGACCAAAGTAAATCTTCAATAATATCAGCAATTAGTAGTAACCCCCACCCTAGATGAACATTCTCTACTTAGATCATTACAATCAGCCAGACTATCCTGGAGGCCACAGCTTCTGTCTCCTAGCAGGCCAACTTGGCGTGCTGTTCGGATGGGAAGTCATTTGGGGACCATGCACTGTGATCCTAAGGTTTCAAATGCAAAGGCTCGGAGAGGCAGACCCTGTTTGCTGTACAGGATTGTACTGTTGAGACAGTTTATACACACACAAGCATGAAGTCCAGCTCTTGGGAGGAACGCTGAGGAGAAAGACTGCGGTTCCATCGTATTTTTAAATGTGTGTCAGATGAAGTAGCTACAAGGTAGGACAGCTGAAAGAGACCAGAGACAGTTTCAGCGGAGCCTGGGAGGAAAGCCTCTTCAAATGAATATTAGCTATAATCCTGATCTTTCTCTTATCCCGTACCAAGAAAGAAGCCAGAACCATTATAGGGCTTTCAGTGTTTGGTAGAAGCATTGGTAAGTCAGTTAGTTGGGGTTTGTCATGTTGTTTTGAAATTCACTATGGAGCTGGATGTTGTGATATTTATATATGCTGGTAGTCCCAACTTCTCAGGAAGAGGAGGTGAGAGGATCACTTGAGCCCATGAGTTTTCAAGGCCAGCCTAGGCCACTCGGAGACTCCACCTAAAAAGAAAAGCAAGGGGCCACAGAGGTTAAGAGCACTTGCTGATCTTCTAGGGAACATGAGTTCACTTCCACCCCCCTCCTCAGGTGGCTGTAACCTGGCTTTAGGGGATCAGAGGCCAGAACGGGAACACACACTCATGAGCACATAGACACACACACACACACACACACACACACACACACACACACACTATACATAATTGAAAATAATAAAAGTCAATCTTTTTTTAAGAGGCAGGGGAAAAGGGGATGAGGCCAGAGGGAGAAGAGAAAAGTAACCCTACACACAGAACTCAGAACATACTCTGGAAAGAGAAGGCTACGGAGGTAACTCATGGCACTCCAGAGAGCAAGCATGAAGGGAACCGGGCCTTCCTGGTGCCTTCGGTGATAGCCATAGGGAAAGACAACTCAAAGTTGTCTCATTCACTCCTGCCGGCCCCCATCAGCTATGCTAGTCCAGGGCCCGGCGGGGAGATGAACTGAATGCACAAGCAAGCCTTACATCTTACACAGAGTGACAGATGATCAAATCCTGGCACAAAGCATCCGCCCAGCAAGAAGGAAGGAGAACGTTTTTAAACTTGCAACAAGGAGGCATGCTGCCCCCACTTCTTTTACCCAGGCACTGGGCACGTCCAGAGAAATCTTCAGGTTGCATTTCATGCCCTAAGGCCCAAAACAATCTAACAGGGTTTGCTTCAATGGATGAGGAGACAGTATCCAAGAACACACAGAGGGGAGGTCATGTGATCCGAGGGCAGCTGGACAGTGACATAGTAGAGATGGACATTCCCGGCTCACTCACAGTAGCTCTGTTATTCTGAGTCTCGGTGACTTGCCATGCGCCGTTCATCTGCTTATGGTAAAGGAAAACATCAAGCCCTATGGGCTAAGCCATGAAAAGGCAATTATCTGAAGTGCGATTCAGTGAGGTTTTTTTTCAACTTGAGATTTCAAAAGTAATCCATTTCCTGCTAGGTTCCCTTCAATAGATGGCTTAATTAATGCCATTGTTTACAAAATAAAATAAATAAATAAAAATAAGAATTAGGACCAGGCAGAAGCTTCACAGAGAACCCCTTCCTTCAGTAGGCAAGCCCTGGGCTCACTTGCAATCTGGCCATCTCTGGAAAACCCTAGACTTTTCTTGTCCAAGTAGATGCCATAAAATGCTAGATCATAGGTTTTCCCCAATAGGTTTCTTACATGATTGCGATCAGGCTATATATAATTTTAAAGTTAGGATCGCTTTCCGCTCAACATTATAGTCACAAACATCCCTGTCACTCAAGACTTGGGGTGAACCTCAGTTTTGATACAATGACCTCTTTTGAGAGGTTCAAACAAGAACAGGTTGAATCCAGCGCAAGCCCAGTTAGTGCTAGAGTCCCCAGAGTCTCCCTTCTGCAGCACTGCCCAGCTGGACGTCAACAGGTATTGCAGAGACAATGGGCGAAGGCAGAGTGGGCAGGTGCAGTCTGCCCTCAATGAAGGCACTTACACCAGGGCGGGCGCTGGATGAGAGCAGATGTCTGGAGGTTTGGGGATTTCCTATGTGGGAGCATGAGAAGGAAGGATGCTAATGGGATCATCGGTGTCTAGGACCTCCCTGCAGGAGTAAACTAAACCTGGTTATGAACCAGAACTGTGACTCATGATCCACCCAGAACTCTAATGACTGGACCATCTTCAGGAAGAAGTACACCTCTTACATAGCTCAGCTGAACCGTAGCTGGCATAAATGACACACATTTGAAGTGAAAAATCGAAAACTTCTGAAGTATGCGTGCATCTATAGAAGCCAGTAGGACACCAAGAGAATGAGCGCATCCACCATCCAGCGTGAAGTCCTTTCTCCAGCCCTGCCCCGCCCCAAGCAGCCTGTGATCTGCCTTCTGTCGCTATGACTGTCGCTGCACCATCTGCACTCTGTGTGAACAGAACCGTGCACTGTTTCCTTTCTTAGCTCTTATATCTGTTTTTTCCAGCATGATCAGTTTGATATTTAACTGTGTATATTAATTGTCAACATATTTTGTTTGTTAATTAATATTCTAACATATAGAGTTTCTATAATTAGTTCACTTGTTGGAACAGGGACGTTTGGTTAGTTTCCAGTTTGGGATTATTGCAAACAAACTTGTAAATATTCTTTTATAAGTCTTTGTAGGGAGAACTTCCATTCCCCCTGAGCAAAGACCTTGGAATGGAATACCAGGTATCACGTAGCAGGCACCGTGCACGTCAGTTCAAAGGAAATTGCCGAGCTCGTCCCAAGACTGTTGGGCTATTTACACACCTGGCTGCACACAGGCCCCTGCCGCTCAGTCCTTCATCGACATCGTCATTTCTCCTTGCTCTGACACACAAAGAGCGGCATCTCACTGTGGTCTGGGATTGCATTTTCCTGGTGACTTCCTGTCACCTGCTCAGTAGGGTCATCTATGAATCATCCTTAAAAAAAAAAAAACATTCAAGCCGGGCGGTGGTGGCGCACGCCTTTAATCCCAGCACTTGGGAGGCAGAGGCAGGCGGATCTCTGTGAGTTCGAGACCAGCCTGGTCTACAAGAGCTAGTTCCAGGACAGGCTCCAAAACCACAGAGAAACCCTGTCTCGAAAAAACAAAAAAAAACAAAACAAAACAAAAAAAAAACATTCAAAGTTTTTGTTTTACCCACTGATCATCTCCCTGGCCCTAACAGTGTCTTCCGTAGAACAAAATTTTTTAGTATTTTGAAAGAATTATTGACTCCGTGAATTCGAGGCCAGCCTGATCTAAAAAATGAGTTCCAGAAACCAAAGACAACACAGAGAAATCCTGTCTCAAAAAAACCAAAATAATAATAATAATAATTTATTTTACTTTATGTGAACTGTGCCTGTATGGATGTTTTGCCTGCATATATGTATTGTACCATGCTCATGTCTGGTGCCTATGGAGGTCAGAAGAGGGCATCACACCTATAGCTTGGGTAATCATAGTTGTGAATCACCACGTGGATGCTAGAAACCAAATCTGAATCCTCTGCAGGAGTAAGAAACGCTTTTAGCCCCTATATCCAAAATTTCTTAATTTTTGTGAAACGCAGTTCAATGCGGTTTGTCTTGTGGCTGATCTTTGCTCTTGTGTCTTAGCAATCTGCTGAACTCAAAATCAGAAAGAACGGTATCTTAACACCATCTAATCTTGAAGGGTCTAATCCTTTAACATGGTATCTATTTATTTATGTCTCTGCTAACTTCTATCTGATATATTAACATTGTGCAACCTTTGCATCTGTGTTCATAAAGAATGTTGAAATGCAACCTCTTGTGATGTCTCTGATTTGAGCAGCGCAGCAATGTTGCTCTTCTTCCGTGGGTTGGGTAGGATTCTTGTCCTTTAAATTTTTCTTGGAGAATTTGTATAACATCCTTAGCAATTCTTCTTCAATGCTGTGTACAGTATGGACAGTTTTTTTATTTCACCAAATATCTTTATGCTTGTTTAGGGCAAAGTGAGAGTCTCTGGAAATAGTCACAAGTGTTTCCATACCATTAAACCTCTAGAGCTGCTGCTACCTCGCTGTTGAGGCAGTTTTGGGGGTCCTCCATGGTAACATGTGGATTCTGGGGCCTTCTACCCCATTGCTGAGAATGAGCATTCATTCTGACTTTTCTTTTGATCCCAGAGTTTGTCCCTCGTGTCCTGCTTCTTCCCCTACGCCCATCCCAACCATAACCATCCCATTCCCCAGCCTCTGGCAGTTTCCTCCCCAGGGAGGAACAAGTCCCACTCAGTTATAGAACTGAAGATGACCTTGTACATATCTGTGGGTGGCTGTCTGTCTGTCTAGGCTCTACTCTGGGCTCCCACCTCCTCCTCAACTCACAGAGAATGCCAGGATCTGCCAGAGTGCCCCCTCCCCCCACCCTGGTACCACATGGAAACTTCTTCCAGATGCTAAGATGCCAACCAGCATCTCGTCTCTCATTTGCCTCCCATTTCCTCAAGGGCCCTACTTGAAATATAACATCCCATAAACATTTGCTACTGTCCAGGTACCAGCTGAGCCAGGTGGGACAATACATCTGGTCTGGTGTTACTCTGAGGTATAGACAAAGTGGAAGCCATTCATGGTGTTCCAATGGATGAATAGCCTAAGCACACAGATGTAACTTGTGGCATTAGGGACTCCCCAGTACAAAGGACTATGTTCTCATTTGTTTTCCACATTTCTGGATGAATTTCCGTGTCATTTCTTCCAGGGATAATTTTAGTAGTTTGGTTGCAGAAGTAATTTCATCTCAATCTCCCCCACCTCACTATTTCTCTTGTTATCTCATTCAAATTCTTTTTACCACTTCCGGGTCACCTTAGAAGCTTTCCGCCCTTACTTAATAGAGGTTATGTCTTCCCGCAGCTGCAGTGTCTTGTCCAATAGAACATTAACTTCAGACCTCTGGCCCTCTGAGACTTCTGGGTGAAGCTTTCTCTTCCCCTGTCTTCTGTCTTCCATTCTGGGTTTTGTCGGCTCTGCCATGGTCTCTGCATGGTCCCTCTGTAATGCAGAGACCTCTCATCTCCTCTACAGTCAGTCTGAATGACAGCTAACTCCTTTCTAACAGCCCATGCTGCGGGACAGGGCAGACCTTCTCTCTCAGCTCTGCTGTCCCAGGGTGGAATGTTCCCTCCCATCGTGTGGCTCTTTGGTTCTCTGAATAATGTGAGGTGCCAGAAGGCACTGCCATCGAGGCTGCCTCCACCTTTGTTCACGCTGACAGCGCTCACTGCTTGTTGGCATCATGGTGCCTCCATGGGCTTGCCCACTGGCAAGGGTTCTGTTCAGCCCCTAGTCAGTTGTGTCCTGTGGGTTGTGCATACGCCTATGAAAAGAGTTCTCATGGGTATGAAAGTAGCCAAGCCGCGGAGAGAAAGAACAAAGTACCTGAGGAAATCATCTTCGCATAGTGAAATGAAACCCCTCTTGTTCTCACTGATAACGAATTTTGTACTTCTGAACTAGGGGGCAGAGTGTGGGGGAAGCTTTTCCTCGTGGAGCATTTCGGCATTTCCTTGGCAAATAGTTAAGGTTTCCTAGTTTCTGAAAATGGGATTGTCAGTAGGGTTTTCCTTTTGGATATCAGTCTCTTCATTTGTCCTTAACTATATTTTCAGAAATGAATTATGAGATACCACATCCTCGCATGGCTCCAGGGACTGACCTACTTGGGGCAGTGAGGGAATGAAGAAAAGACAGACAGATGCAGAGGTGCAGAGAAGCTAGGATTAGGCCGTCTAGGCTCTGATGGGGAAGCCACAGCAACCCAGAAGCTTTGCCAAGTGTTTGTCATCTACAGTTAAACAAGGAAGCAGAGTTATTGCACAGCAGCTGATCAAGGGGGTGGGGTCATTACCTCAGATAAACAAGGAGACAGGACTATTACATACAGCTGAATGTAGTAATAGGGGCGGAAGGGCTGCATTCCCAGCATTGCCCGAAATAACAACACACAAACTGTATTCATTTAAACACTGCTTGGCCCATTCTCTTCTAGGCTAATTCTCACATATTAATTTAGCCCATTTCTAATCATCTGTGTGTAGCACCCCAAGGTGTGCTTACCGGGAAGATTCTAGCCTATGTCCATCCTGGGTCGGAGCTTCATCCCGGGAGCGGGGCATGGCGTCTCTCTGAGGCGTCTGCTCCCGAGAGGAGAGCTGTCGAGTCTGACCTCACTTCCTCTTCCTCCCAGAATTTTGTTCTGTTTACTCCTCCCACCTATTTTCTAAGCAATAAAATGGGCCAAGGCAGTTCCTTTATTAGCCAATGACCTTCCTCCATCAGCTGAACAAGGAGACAGGCTTCACTAACTCAGTAGATGTGCTCTCTGTAGGGTAGCAATCTCCAAGAGGTGAACACAGTGGATGGACGACAGGGAACATCTTCTGCATGCACTATGAGCATCCACGTATGAACTAGTTCTGCACACACTATGAGCATCCACACATGAGCTAGTTCTGCACGCACTATGAACATCCACATCTGAACTAGTTCTGCACGCACTGTGAGCATCCACATATAAACTAGTTCTGCACACACTATGAGCATCCACACATGAACTAGTTCTGCACGCACTATGAGCATCCACACATGAACTAGTTCTACACGCACTGTGAGCATCCACATCTGCACTAGTTCTGCACGCACTATGAGCATCCACATATAAACTAGTTCTGCACGCACTGTGAGCATCCACATCTAAGCTAGAGGAAGGCTCTGCACTGCCATGGGTCTGAGGCACTGGTCCTTGACACTGTTGCCTCAAGTCAACAGTGCACATCCATTATCTGGGGACGCCACATTGACTAAAGGCCTCTTCAGGTCCCCTGCTAAGGAAGGGTAGGAATGTGGTGAAAGCCCACCCAGAATTACTTCTGCAAATGAAGTACTGAGCGCAGTATGGTGAGTGACATTTATCTGTCCACTGTGTTATCACCAGGACACACTGTTGTCTTTCCTGGAAACTCAGAGAATGGATAAACTTTCTGCAAGGACATGCAGTCCTAAATGGATCAAAAAATGAAGCCATTCATGGAAAACGTTACAGCCTGGATTTCTGTGACCATGCCACATCATATGCACTAATTACATTTTTCTGACACCCCTAGAATATTCTCTCCTCAACCATGGAGAAGCTGGGACCATAAGAAGGGTTAAAGTTTACTGACGTGAAGGTCCTTAGATGCTCTCCTTTTGTCTTTCAGAATCAAAGATGGAAAAGACACAAGCACCGCCTAAAGACCTAGAGACCGTGGCCCCATGGGAGGATCCCGATGCTCTGTCTTCAAGCCCAGATGCTCCCGTGGTGTACCTGAAGGATGTCGTGTGTTACTTGTCCCTGCTGGAGACGGGGAGACCTCAGGAGAAGCTAGAATGTAGGTGCTCACCTGCCTATGGCCTCAGCTTCTTCCCCGAGGAAGACCAAGGTTCCTGCCCATCATTCCTCACACGCTGGAGATGCACCTGGGCCCCGGGGAGGTTTCTCTGACTCTTTACTAGCGGTGACAACAACATGTCCTAGAATCTACCCAGGACACAGCGCCAACCTTGAAGTTGGGAAGGGCATCTGAGACCTTGGCCATTTGAAAGAGAGAGAGATTGCTAGCAAGGTCTCAAGACTGCTTTGTCTGGCAGGGCCTTCTGGGTTCCTCTAAGTAGAAAGCTGCTGCTTCACCCTGATAATATTTTTTTTTTAAGAAAAGATACTCAACATCTGCTCTTCCCCTATGTGAGCCCAGAACTCCGTAACTATAGGATGTCCTCCTCCTTTCCCTCCCTCCCTGTTCTTTACCATTACTTTATTGTATTTTATGCCATTTATTTTAAGACAAGCTTTCTCTATGTAGCCCTGGCTATCCTGGAACTCACTATGCAGACCAGGATGCCTTGAATTCCCAGAGAATGGCCGGCCTCTGCCTCCCAAGTACTGGTATTAAAGGCCTATGCCTGCATACCAGGACAGCCCTCCCTGCCCTGCCTTCCTCCCTTCCTGTCTTCCTCCCTTCCTTCCCTTTCCACTTCCTTCTTACCTTCTTCCTCTCTTCCTCCTTCCATCCCTCCTTCCCTCCCTCCCTTCACCATCTTTCTTTCCCTGATCTCTAATAAGCCTCAATCTTGGTAGAGTTTATTTCCATCTCTCCACTCATCCCTATGCTCGAGCTCTTTGCTCAGCAGGAGAGTTAGGTTTGGTTTCGTGGTGCTTCAAAGTCAGTTTCAAAAATACCTTCAGATGCTGGGGATGGTGGCACATGCCTGTGGTGAATCTCTGAATTCAAGGAAAGCCTCCTCGACATAGTGAGTTCAAGGCCAGCCAAGGCTGCATAGTGAGACCCTGTCTCAAATATAATATTATTGAATTATTGAATATATATTATTGAATATGTATATGTATATATATATATAAAATATAAAACCAAACAGGCCTTCAGGAGCACAGTAAGAGCTAGGCAGATAGAGCCTGTGGCCTTGAAGAACTGTTCCAGATTGCTCTCCTGACCTCTAGAGTCATCGGCATGCTTTTCTGAGTGGGTAAAAGGACCCTGTTACAGAACTCATCTTATATCTGCCTCTCTTGGGAACTCAAGTAGCAGCAAAATAATAAATTTTGTAGTAAAAGTCAAAACTCAGTTAATAAGACTAGTCAACAAAGATTATTACCAAGAGAAGAATGGCAAAGGTTAACTCTGCCAACCCCAAACTGACAAACTGGCTCCTTTGCTGAGCTTAAACTCTCTCCTAGGCTGGGGGACTTCGGGATGCAAGTCTTCAGTGCTAGTTTGGTCAAATGTAGCAGATTTCTTTTCTGTTCTGGCTAAAGTTAAAAATGAAATTATCGAATGATTTCCAACAGTTAGGAGGGCTTTGCATCTTTGTGTGTTGGTCGCCAAGGTGGATGCGTCAATTCTTCATGTCACTGCCACTCAGACTGACTTTTTCCAACAGAAAGAGAGAACAATTATGCTTTGTTTTTTCAATATACAGACTTTTTTTTTCTTCTCGCATGCATTACATCCTGACCACAGTCTCCCCTCCCTCCACTCCTCCCAGTTGCCTCCCCCTCTCCCTCTCCACCAGACCCCCTCCTCCTCTGGTACCCTTCAAAACAGAGCAGGCCTCCCAGGGACATCAACTGAGCACAGCATAATAAGTTACAATAAGATTAAGCATAGCCCCTCACAGCAAGGCTGGATGAGGCAAGCCAGTAGGAGGGAAAGAGTCCCCGGGGCAGAGCCATCTTATTCTCACTGCTAGGGATCCCACAAGAACACTAAAGTAAACAACCACAACATATATGCAGAGGATCTGACTCAGACCTGTGATAGTTGCTTCAGTCTCTGTGCGTTCCTATGAGCCCTGCTTAAGTGATTCTGTGGGCCATCTTCTCGTGGTGTCCTAGAGCCCTCTGACTCCTACAATCTTCCCTCTCTCTCCTTCCAGTGTTTGGCTGTGGGTCTCTGCATCTGTTTCCACCAGTTGCTGACACCTCTCTGATGACAGCTGAGCTAGGTGCTGATCTGTGAGCACAGCAGGATATCATTAGTAATCATGTTATTGATTTCTTTTCCAGTCATGTTTGGTTCTGTCTCGGGTCTCTAGGCTATCCAGGCTCTGGCTCCTGGCCGTCCAGGCAGTGTCAGACATGGGCTTCCTCTCTTGGCATGGGCCTCAAGTTGGACCAGTCATGAGATGGCCACTCCCACAAGTTCTGTGACACCATTTCCCAGCACATCTTACAGGCAGGACATATTGTAGGCTGGTTTTGTGACTGGTTTGATGCCCCAGTCCTACTGCCAGAAGTCTTGCCTAGTTACAGAAGATGGCCCGTTCAGGCTCTGTATCCCCCATTACTAGGAGTCTTCTCATAGACTTCAGGGGGTTCCCTCAGCACTATGTTTCCACAGTGACCTCCAAATGCCCCCCAATTCCAGTTGTCTCTCCCAGTACTCTCCCTGCATTCCCCCACATACACACTGCCTGATCACTCCTGTTCCTATCCTCACCCACCCAAAAAATCTCTTCCCAAGGAGAGCCTCCTTGGTATCTAGCCTCTCTGGGTCTATGACTATCCTTTTACAGCTAATATCCACTTATGAGTGAATACATACCATGTTTGTCTTTCTGGATCTGGGTTGCCTCATTCAGGATGAATTTTTATAGTTCTATCCATTTTCCTGCAGATTTTATGATGCCATCCTTTTTCACAGCTGAGTGATATGCCATTGTGTAAATGTACTACATTTTCTTTATTCTTTGGTTGAGGGGCATCTAGGTTGTTTTCAGTTTCTGACTATTATAAAGAAAGTTCCTATGAGCATAGTCAAGTGAGTGTCATTGTGGTAGGTTGGAGCATCCTTTGGGTATATGCCCAAGAGTATCCCCAATTTTCTGAGAAACTGCCATATTGATTCCAAAGTGGCTGTATAAGTTTGCACTCCCACCAGCAGTGGAGGAGTGTTCCCCTTACTCCACATCCTCTCCATCATCCAGCATGAGCTGTCACTTGTGGGTTTTTGATCTTAGCCGTTCTGACAGGTGTAACATGGAACTCAGTTGTTTTGATTTCCATTTCCCTAATGGCTAAGGATGTTGAACATTTCTTTAAGTGTTTCTTGGTCATTTGAGATTCCTCTATTGAGAACTCTGTTTATATCTGTATCATAATTTTAATTGCATTATTTGGTGTTTTGATGTCTAGTTTCTCAAGTTCTTTATATGTTTTAGATTTTATCCCTCTGTCAGATGTGGGGTTGGCAAAAAAAAAAATCTTTTCCCAGTCTGTAGACTGTTGCTTTGTCCAATAAAGGTGTTACTTGCCTTACAGGAGCTTTTCAGTTTCAAGAGGTCACACTGATTGATTATTGATCTTAGTGCCTGAGCTACCGGTGTTCTGTTCAGGAAGTTATCTCCTGTGCCAGTGCGTTCAAGGCTATTTCCCACTAACTCTCTATTAGGTTCAGTGTATCTGATTGATCCACTTGGACTTGAGTTTTGTGCAGGGTGATAGATATGAATCTATTTGCATTTTTCTACATGCTGATACCCAGTTAGACCAGCACCATTTGTTGAAGATGCTTTCTTTTTTTCCATTGTGTATTTCTGACTTCTTTATCAAAACTCAGGTGTCCAGAGGTATGTATATTTATGTCTGGTCTTTGATTTAATTCCATCGATCAGTCTGTCTGTTTTTATGACAATACCATGCAGTTTTTATTACTATAGTTCTGTAGTACAGCTTTAAATCAGGGTCATGATACCTCTAGAAGTTCTTCAATTAAACAGGATTGTTTTTGCTATCCTGTGTTTTTCCTTCTTCCATATTAAGTTGAGCATTGTTCTTTCATGGTCTGTAAAAAAAAAATGTTTTGGAGCCAGGTGGTGGTGGTGCACACCTTTAACCCCAGCACTCAGGAGGCAGAGGCGGGCAGATCTCTGTGAGTTCAAGACTAGCCTGGTCTACAAGAGCTAATTCCAGGACAGGCACCAAAGCTACAAAGAAATTTTGTCTCGAAAAAAACAAATTTTGATGAGGATTGTGTTGAATCTGTAGACTACTTTTGATAAAAATGGCCATTTTTACCATGTTAATCCTACCAGTCCATGAATATGGACAATCTTTCCATCTTCTGAGATCTTCTTCAATTTCTTTCTTCAAAACTTTAAGTTTTTGTCATTTACAAGTCTTTTACTTGCTTGGTTGGAGTTACCTCAAGGTATTTTATATTATTTGTGGCTATTGTGAAAGGTGTAATTTCCCTGATTTCTTTCTCAGTCCACTTGTCATTTGTATATAGGAGGGCTACTGATTTTTCTTTGAGTTAATCTTGTATCCAATCACTTCATAAAAGCTGTTTATAGGAGTTACTTGGTAGAATTTTGGGGGCTGCTTATAAATATTATCATATTATTTGCAAATAATGCTACTTTGGCTTCTTCCTTTCCAATTTGTATCCCCTTGATCTCCCTTTGTTGTCTTATTGCTCTAGTAGAACTCCGAGTGCTGTATTGAATAGATAAGGAGAGAGTGGACAACCTTGTCTTGTTCCTGATTTTAATGGAATTGCTTTGAATTTCTCTCCATTTAATTTGATGTTGGCTATATGCTTGCTGTAAATTGCCTTTATTATGTTTAGATATGTCCCTTTTAACCGTAATCTCTTCAATACTCCTATCATGAAGAAGTGTTGGGTTTTTGTCAAAGGCTTTTTCAGCATATCATGGGATGATCATGTGGGTTTTTTCTTTTAGTTTGTTTATATGGTGGATTACATTGCTGATTTTCATATATTGAACCATCTCGAGGACGAAGCCTACTTGATAATAGTGGATGATCTTTTTTATGTGTTCTTGGATTTAGTTCATGAGTATTTTATTGAGT